AGAGAAAGAGAACAAGCGAATAAGCAAAAGAGATAACCTGCCTCTCTGCAATCGATATATGAAGCACCGCGGCTGCGACGTTCCCCGGAGGATCGCGATATGTATTTTCAGAAAGCGCCTGCACGATCGAGCACACCCTCGCTAGCGCGAGCTTCTGTTTGCACGCGGTACCTTTCATCCGTGGCTGCGTGTTTACCGTTTGATCTTATTATTTCATTCGTCTAAATTTAAACACTTCATTCATCCTCTCCCTGTAATATACCGTTGGTTTGTTTTCCCGTAGCCACGATGCGGAACCCGGTAATTCGATTGACAGGGCCCTTCCCAAGTGTCCTTGGCGGATTTAGGTAAACTTATTGTGCGTGCAAACTGTAGGATTTATATAAACTAGTATTTTTCCTTCCCTATCGAATAATAAAATTGAAAAATTAACTGCATGACTTGCAAGCATTCTTTAAATTATTTTAATTCTCATTTATTTTTTAAATATAATTTAATTTAAACGAGAAAAAGAAAATATGTAACATAAGATGAATAGAAATTTTATAATAATATATACAAAAACTTAGTAAAAAGCAAAAACAATTTTCTCTCTATCAAATTTTTGCTATTTAAAATAACTATTTGAATAGTAGGACTTTAAACAAAATAATACATAATTAATGGTATGATTAAATTATATTTTTAGCAACAATTGTATGAAAAATCTGCGAAGAAACTTATGTAAACGTGACAAAATATTTTTCTTAAAAAATTTTTGCGCGAACCACGAAGGATGCGAGAAGAATGTCGCGAACCCTCGAAAGCGAGCCGATGCGTTAACCGCATTACAGGCACTGGTATAAGCCAAACCAAACATTGACATGTTCGATCATAGCGATCTCTCATAGTCAGCTAGAGCGATGACGAAGGAGAAGGAGGAGGAGGAAGTGAAAGAACCAGAGAGGCATGAATACAAGCGCGCAGGATATACAGGATCGAGCCAACAGAAAAAGAAAGAGAGAGAAAGAGCCGCCTCGTACACCATCTGGCCATTGACGGGGGGTTTGGGCACCAAGGGGTAGAAATTGAAATGAAAACAGGGCGCTACCCCAAACCGTGCCGCGTCTTTGCTATGGTTGTCAATGAGGGCTATTAGGGGACGATATGTTTTTCTTCTTCACAGATTTCCTCTGTGATGCGTTGACTTCTGCCTAAACCCGATGACGAGCGTGGTGATTGCTCGTCCAAAACGAGAGTAGACGAGATTGGACAAGAATTCATTTCTTCAATCGACAATTATTATCCACTTTTGCTTTATTATCTATAATTTACAGATATAAATAAAGTACTAAAAATAGTGAAATACTACATTCGTGATGTTGTCACAAATAAAAATTCAAGATATAAGAACATCTCTTATGCTTCATGTTTGCTGAAGTATCAATTAAATGCTCTAAATTGCTTAAAACGCGCAAAATTTCATCTTTATTGTGTATGAAGCAAATAATTTGTAATAAAAAATTCTTATCTCCCATCAAATAAATTGTTTTGTCGATTAAAAATATATCTTCTTTATTATTTATCTCGGCCACTCTCATAAGACACACATTATATATTGTATTCAATATTAATATATTTTGAAAAACATAATTTGATAGTCTTCTTAAGTTAAATTTATGACAACCATTATTAGATTTTATGATAAACGATTCCATAATAAGAGCCAAAAACGATACATATTCGTTTACGAGCTTAATTGAAATATACGGGTAGTGCTCGAATTTGAAATATCTGCGGGTTATTTTCATGATAAATCAATCACGCACCATATCTTGCTTGCAAAATATATAATAAATTATATGACGAAAATATCACGAAATTAGTGTTTATTGTATATTGACGTAAATAAACAAAGTACGTAACATGTACGTAGATAAACAAATAAATAATATCATACATTAATATGAGAAAATATCATATTTAATGTTATATTTTTGAGATACAGTAAATATCAGATATGCTCATATTTACTATATGTCAAAAAAGTATTATTTAATTTATATTTCAATTTAAAAAATTAATTATAAATTTTTCAGTTAAACATCTAAAATCTAAAAATGTCAAGTGGAATCTATTTTTATCCATTATATAAATATTTACTACTATTGTAATTGTATCAGTAGCATTATTTATATAATCTCGTTTTTATCATATTTGTATACGGTATTCAAGTACATTGAAAATATTATAATTTGAAAAGTTACATTTATGTGCTGTCGACTAAGGTGAGAGAAAAAAAAAGCGCGAATATTACACGTGGTAATACAATGTCCTGAATAGTGCTCGAGCTGCCTCGACGAGCACTTGGCATAAGAGCATTGAGAAGGTCACGTGTCGACTCGTGCACACCGGATGTCATGGTTTTGTCGTATTTAGCGCCTCCTCTACGGTCTATTCACTTCGTGGTAAAAGCATGGGCGGTTCCTTTTCCGCCTAAATAATCAACAACGAGGTGCAGAGGCCCGTACCATGAGAAACGAACGTACGTGATATTATCAGATAACAATCAACACATAAAATTAATTTCGTTAATTTACAATAAATACATATTATTGTCTTGAATAAAGATGCCCATTTTATATCAAAAAGGCTATTAAAATTTAACCAAAATAAAATTCTCTCTTTTTAACTATGATGTGCAGTTTAATAATATTTATTGTAATAATCGATTGTGATTTTGTATAATACCTGTATAAGAAAGAGATGAGAAGATTTTACGTTGAGAGATTGTTGAAGTCTCTGAATGAAATAATTTTACTAACGAAAGGAAAAGCGAGGTGCACCTTCACGTTGATCACTGGTTTATTTCACTTAGCGGACATTCACGGACGATTACGCGACGGGAGCATGGGAACTAGGCTACGGAATCGTTCGATTCGACGTCACCATAAATCTACGCGTGATTTGCAATGCGTGCCACGGACGATCGTGTGGGAGGATCACTCTGGCGAGCGTAGGAGTGCCGGCGTCAAGTATTGTTCTCCAAGGGACAACTATTTCGTCTACAATAGCCGTACGTTGACAAAACCGCGAGGTAATGACCGTGATCGATTACGATTTTACTACGATATCGTTTACGCGAAACATTGCGCCGATTATATCTGGACATGTTGTTCCCACGGACCGTTACGAGTGACTTTATCCAAAAAGCATCAGCTCACAAAAGGACACGGGGAATAAAAAAGGAAAAAAAGAGGAATTAAATCTGTGAAAATTTAAAGCGTTTATGGAAATACTATTTTGAATGTGATTTTCCTTCCTTAGGATTATTTTAAAAATAATTCGAAATTGCTGTTCTATAACTAAATTATTTTTTTATCACATTATTGGTGTATGTAATTATATTTATATGTAATTATATTTATAGATTCCATTTTCTCAATAGTCTAATTCTTCTATAATTCTTTCTAATCCTTATTAATGTATTTGATAAATTGCTTCGCGTATCAATATATTGTTTCTCTACTAATGATTTCTTGATCTTTCACAATGTTATCGTCGGCATCGCGGAAAGCTATAGGGTTGTCAAAAAAAGTCGGTTGCGAAGAACAGAAGTGTAGGAATAGATAGCTAGATAGACAGCTATAGATACAAGGAAGAAAAACGATGCGAGCATACAATTATCCTAATGGATCCTGACCAATAAGCATTATCGATTCGACGTAAACACTTTTTTACTATCTATGTAACTTGTTAAGCTAAAATAACTTGGCGCGACGACTACAAGACAACCATGATATCGAATTCTCAACTTTTGCCTATTTTATTAAACTGTGAATATTAAATTAAAAAAGAAAAATACAGATAATAAATGACAATAGAAGTAGAGTCATTCAAATTGTATATTTTTTAAAAAGTTCTCTTCTCCTTCCCTTTAAAAAAAAAAGTCTACCGCCAAAGGTTGCTCGAGCAAGCTGTAAAGTCCGCCGCGAAGCCATCTAATCGATTCTTTCCAATTAACGGGCAGCCCACGAAAATCGGCAACAAACCCAGCGGGAAGGCGATCCTCGTACATCGGTGCACAAGCGACGTCGGAATGAACAATCCACTCGTCAGTACGGCCACGTGACCGGCCACGTGTCAGGAACGTGCCGGGACAACTGGTGCCCCGCTCGCTCTCTCGTCGTACCATGTGCTCCGATGAATATGTACCACCCTGTATGTCGAGGACGGGGAGGGATTGACACGCGCGTGTTTCTCCGCAGGATGAAGGATTACTTCGCAAGCGCGACTGTTACTTTTCTCTTTTGCATATTGAATCAAGGAGGCGAAACATCTTTTTTTTAATTTCTTTTTTTTTAAATAAGCATCAGATACCTATATTTTTTGAATCATAAACTGCCGAAAAGTAAAGCCTCTTTCCGGTATCTATATTTTTGTATCGCATATCTTGAATAAAAATAAGCGCATATGATCGCCCGCATTCAGGATAAGTACATGCTATACTTTGGAGTAGACGACGGTATCGATGTCGATGGACAATAAAACTCTCGAGATGTAACTTATAATCGACAATAGTGTCCTGTGACCAACTGTCGCAGCGGAGATCGAAGTTGAACATGTTCTGGATAACATATGGGACAGAGTCGAGTGTTTCGTAGTGACCCTTTTCGCAACAGACTACTTCAAGGATTGATACCATCATTCGAGCTTTCTCGTTTACAAATTGACTCTTAGATTTTCCTACAATTTCTTTCGCCTAATTTTCAATGTTATCCCTTCCCCATGAAACAATCGTGTCTTTGATATTTAGATAAAAGCGGTATAATTTTGGCATAATATATATTCAAGTTTTGATGTTACAGAGATCTTGCCTTCACATTTATTTCTTTTAACAGAAACAATGTAATAATCGGAGATTGATTTGTTTTATAACGTCAAAATTAAATTCACGCAATCAAATAAATAAAATAATTCACCGTAAAAGGCAAAGAAGAAAAATAAAAAAAAGCACTCACATTCTTCCTTGATAAAACGGCTTGGTGTTTTGATCCTCCGTTCTAAAACAAAAGAAAACAAAATGTAAACAGATTAAATTTTGACTAATAAACCCAAAAATATTTTCCCTCTAAAATTTTAATTAAAAATAAAATAAATTTAAAATAAAATGCAATTTTGAAGCACTTGAATGAAAATAAAAATAAAAATATCGTTGAGATAACTCCAAAAATATTACTCATTTTAATTTAAAATTATGACAAGCTTTAAAAAAAAAATCGTTCAATAAATTTTCAATAAACTTCTGTATCGGACCTAAAATGTAATTATTTTAGATGTTATACGTACAAACTGCACTTTGTCGCACGCACATGCACACGTATATATTATTAAAAGAAATGTTGTATGAAAATCAAAGGCCATCTTAAGATTTGCTGTTACGATTGCCAAGACTTTTATTTCGAGAAATTTGCACGTCGACGCAAGGCTGTGTACACGTCGCTCGTATCTCGGTTGTAGACGCCATAACTTTTTTATGGAACATTGTGTCACTAATATTTCAACCTGCCGACACTTTCTCTCATACCTCACGCCGATAAATAATTTAACTCGCCACTATTACGAGCGAGTTCTAAGATATTTTGCACGACATACATTACACTTGGTCACGACGCGATATCGCGATTCGTCGCTTCTCTTCAGACGCGAATTAGATTATTCGCGTGTGTGATCATTTTTATCGTAATGTCCATGTGAATATATCATGCATAAAACAATTATCTTGCCAATTATCTCATGATTCTCACGCAAAGAATACTCATATATCGGTATTTTGTACAGTAATTATACATTTTTGCACTTGAAAGTTGTGCATATATACAATTTATACCCATTTTACATTAATATTTATTTCATGTTAATGTTTATTTTAGTTAATTATAAATGAAAAATATTTAAATATTCGGGTGTGTGGGATGGATTATTTGAGAAACAGAATAAAATAACAAAATTGCCAAATTATATATTCTATTGAAATATTAATATTAAAACTTTGTTACAAATATTACGTAACAAATGTTAATAAACATTAATTTGGGTATTCAAATAAATAAAAAACAATAATTTGCATAATTTAATCCAATTATTCACGTATAGATTTTATTTTCTTTTAAAGATATAAAAGTATTAATAGAGATATTACCTTATATATTGATATATTATTATATCAATATATCATATAAAAATATATATTATCTAAAAATATTATCGAATTAAAAATCTGAAACTTTTTATTTGTTGATTGTCGATTTGAACTCGATTGAACTGATAATGATTTCCGGAAAATATCGATAAGCACGGATTTGTTTCACCTTGTCAACTGGGTATCGTAACAGAATAAACGCAATAAATCCGCAAAAATATCCACAAACTCCACTTGCTGGTTCTCAGTCATATTACATATTTATATTGCGAGACTATACATGTTGACCATTAAAACCACAATATAATATATATATATTGATTTTAATATATATATATATATATATATATCTCGTTTCGTGTAGTTTTGAATCGAATTTTAGAACCGGTAACAGCAGTTAACATTTCACTATCAGAGAGAGAGAGAGAGATCGTTATCAAATTAAAACGAGAGAAAATTATTATTCCATTTTTACGAATCTCGTATACACTCAAAATTGACTTGTAAAAAGAGAGCACTTTACGAAAAATGAAATTAATGAGAATTCTTTGCGCATAATACGAGAGTTTTCGAACACTCTCGGAGGGATAATTTACACGAGAAGGAGCAAGGTAATTTTTTCTCTTAGAAAGTTTCCACTCTTTTCTGGCTGTACAAGAGAAAATGTTACAACTTTTAATTTCGTAGTTTTATAATGACGATAGATAAAATCGAGATTAACTTGGAATTTCTTTCGATATAGCATAACGTATCATTTCTATTAATGTGTAATATGGCAACTTTTAATTAAATTATATCGATCAAACCTTACCTGTGCGCGAATTAATCGAATCATATGATTTCGATATTTTTCAGAAGCTCACACGAAAATTACACACATAAGAAATTTTTCATAACATGCATTATGTAAAGTTAACGGATAATTAATAAGATACAAAATTTTTTAATAATTATAAAAGTACTAATCTACACACATATTAAAATCTACAGATATAATAATTTATAATATTCGAGTACCTCGAGACAGTAATTTGTCTACATTACCAATTATTTTTTTACCTGAAAAAGTTATGATAATCTAGGTCAAATGTAATATTTTCAGCTTACATGTCTAAATATTTTTTCAAATAAAATGTGAGACATATCCCGTTTTGTCCTCTCGAATCTATGGTAACTTTGCCGGTGACATAATCGTAAGGTTACATTAACGCAGCTTAAACACCATTTAGTTCCCATCAGGAACCACTTAATCTCCGATCGCGTAAACTCCCAGTGGCAACAACGGCAGGGAAACCAATAGTTCATTGTAAAGAGAGAATGGGCGAGAGAGAGAAAGAGAGAGAGAGAGAGTATGTGATTACGCTCTCGACAAACAGAAGAACTTTGTCCCGTAAGAGTCACGTGGCGCCGTTGAAGTGAGCACCACCTTTCTCTCTTTCTCTTTGTGTATGTAACGCTCCATGGAAAAACCTACCCCACGCGATAGGCGATCGGCAAGCACGCCTCCAAGGAAAACAACCCCGAGGCTGCGAGTCTGCGTTCCCACGTATATACGCTAACTCAATCCCGGAGTTTGCCGTGTAACAGTTCGGATTACACACCGCTTATATCCAAAATGCTTTGTCTGTGAATCGCTAAACTCGAAAGTATATGTGCTGGAAATGTTCGACAATTTTATTCTTTTTTTTTACGTAAATAATGCGATAGTTTACGTAAGAAAAAGTGCATAAGCTTCTAATAAAGATCTTATTTTTTGCAAAAAAATAGCTTTTTTCATTTTCCTCGTGTGTACTTGGAGGCAGTTATAACGAAATAATAGCTGCCTTCAAGCATTCTACTGAAAGAAAATAAAAAGGATTTTTAAATGTCAGATAGAGAAATGAAAAAGGTTACAGTTTAATGAAAATATTTGCAACACATCTGTAAATATTATATAAGAGAGAGCGATGAAACATTATTCTATATTTAAATATATTTTTATTAAATATAATTTAATAAATATTTTTAGAATAAATATTACTTCTGGAAAAATTTTAATTTATATATAGCCTTGTAAAAAATTGAAAGAAGTATATATTAAAAATTTTATATTATAAATAAATTCAAGGAAAAAATACAGAATTTTGACTATTGTATTATATTAACGAATTTTTTTATTATATATTAAATTCTTTCGATTATCAAAAGATAATAAAATTTAAATAAATTTTTGCAAGATAAGTTAACTTAATATAAAATCTTAACTTATAATATAAAGTTTTATAGTACATATTACGAGAGCGTGAAACGTAAAAAAATTTGAAACGTAATCATTGATAATCATTTGACATTGTTAGTATTGAGTTATCGCAATATCGGCTACTCATCTCGATAGAAAGTAGGTAGACTTTGTGTAAAGATATGTTTTGAAAAAAAAAAAAGAAGTTTTTAATCTTATCAAGAATCGTTCACTTCTCTCTGCCCGTTCACAATCAGTGACATACATACTTTAATAATTCTTATCTTGACGTAACTACTTCATTGACATAACAGATAAAGATGTTCTAATTCAAACTGCGTTTTCCTAGTAGACATTTATTCTGATAAAATAGGCGTCTATAAATATATTGATTAAATTTTGATTTAAATCAATCTAAATGAAATAAAGAATTTAATTGAATTTCTAATTTCTATTGTCGTAAAATAAATAATTAAACGCATTTATTGTTCAAATAGAATAATATGTTAATAGTTTAATTATGCAAATATGATAATAATAATAAAATAATGGTTACAAAATATGGAGAATTAAATAAAAATATGTTTAATAGTTTTTTTTGTCTCTTGTCTCAAAAATTACACAATTTCCCCGGAATATATCTTTTCTTTTTTTTTCAAACAAGTAAAAAATATTTTTACCTTCCTGTGAAAAGATGATGTCATATTACGATACGGTACAATGATCCCACGACTATCTTTAAATGCTCTCTTTTTTTGTTCGAAAAAAAAAAGACAGCTATCGATCAAAACTCGATTAGCTGGTACTCCAAACCGGAAATGAGTTGACCTCGGGTTAGCCACGCGCTATAAAAAAATCGTAATGCCGTAATACTCCCCAGGGTGAGATGCGGTAATCCGATGCGGGTGACGGAACACGCGTGTGTCTTTAGTACTCTGGAATTGTTTTTCAGCAGGGAGAAACATTGTGCGCTGTCGACCTCTCCTTTTGTTTCCTGCTTATGACTTGCTTATCGGTTTGGCAAATGACATTTTAATATGTAACTTTAACAATTAGAAGATAAAATAATTGTGAATATTATATCTCGCATACTTAATTAAAGATTAATTAAAGATAATTAATTTAATTAAAGAAAATTAATTTATTAAATTTAATTTAATATGAATACAAAAAAAAATATGCAAGGGTCTCTCATCATTCTTATTCTCTCTCATTCTGCGGGTGCGATCAAATTATGACTTATGAGACACGGGTTGGCGATAAAAGGCCGATAACCGATAGTTAACGATGTTACCACGCCGATCTATCACGGTGAGTGGTCACTCGGGGCGAAATTGTATGAAGGAAACGAAAGAAAATATAGGAAGTGTTCGGCCCGGTGCCTTCCTGATCTGGCGGTTTCATACTAGAGTCATAAAAAAAAGATAGCGAAGCAGCCGTTACCGCAGAAACTTTCAACTTGGGGAGCAATTTTCTCCTCTCCCTCCGACAACTTTTTTTCACGAAAAATGTAGGCAGGGAAAAGATATTGCCGCGATTACACCACGTGAAAAGGGTTACCGATATTTTTTTCCGGAATATCGCGAGAGATAATCGATGTACGAATATCATCTTTACTCTTCTGTACTTTCCTAATTAAAGCG